AAAATTTTTAATATTATATATATATATATACGTATATATAAAAAAAGGAGATGTTTGATAACTGAACCATATTGTTATCAATAGGTAACATAACCACAAAATAGTGTGTTCATTTGTCGGACTCACTCTCTCAATGTAAAACACATGTCATAGCATATACCTGTCAGTTGTCTTATAATTAATTTAAATAATAAATAATATGTTATTCATTATTAAACATTAAATAGTTTTTAATAACAAACAGATACATTTCGTAAAATTCATATTCTTTAAGCCGTTTACACAATTGAAGGATTGACATCTTATCTTTGTTTTTAAGGTGGGCTTGAAGATGAATACATTCATTTGGAAAATCCTCTTCGAGATCTTCCTTATAAATATTTTGTAAATTTTTTGCAAATTCCATAATTTCGTCCACACTATACTCTGTTAATTTGCCAAGAAAAGAAAAACGCGAATTAAAAAGGAAATTCGCTGCTCGTCTATCTTCTAATTCATTTGTTAAAGAATCTAAAATGACTGTATATGTTTTTACTCGAAATTTGTCACTCCCCTCTAACTCTTGCTCTTGATTACGAGTTTCATCATGGAAAGATTTTCGTACTCTATTTCTTGATTTTTTATATTCTTTTACAACTGATAAAAGTTTTGCTTTGTTTTCATACTCATGGAATATAATTGGATTTCTTAGTGATTTTGTATATTCACTTAATGAATCATATATATCTACTATGACTGATACATCAATATTAACACTCTGGAGTTGTTTACTAGCCTTGTTTAAACGGTCAAGAAGGCAACCCCATAACAATGTCATAAACGCCGTTTCCAAGCTATCCAGTTTGTTAAGTATACTACGAGCTTCATTTATCGTGGTTGCCTTTTCTGTTAAATTGTTTGTTATTGATATCAGTGCATTACGTATTTCATTCCAAGAACTATTCAGACTTTTACATGCATCATCACGAKAAGACCATCTTGTGTTTGATAATATTTTCACAGTTTTTGACTCAGGATTATTTTTTAATTGGGTTTTCAATATTTCCCATCGATTCGTGGATGATGAAAAMAAATTGTATACTGTTTGAAGAAGGGAAAAATATGTCAATGTATCATCACAATTATCAGCTGCACAAGATACTACTAAATTCAGTGAGTGGGCGGAACAAGGTACATATTCAATTAAAGGATTTAACTCTTTAATCCTTGTCTGTAGTCCTGAATATATTCCTGACATGTTTCGGGCATTGTCATAGGACTGACCTCGGCAATTTTCTATTTCTATTTCGTAAGAATTAAGAAGCTTTGTAACTGAATCAAATAACTCAATATGTTTATGACCAGTGTTTGGAATATATTGAAGAAATCGTTCTATTGGCACGCCGTTTTCTTGAACATAACGAATAACGAAGGATAGTTGGTCTACGTGTGAAATATCGGGACTACTATCTACTATTATCGAATAATAGTTAACTGTTTTTATTTCGTCAATAATTTTTTGCCTGATTTTATCAGCCATTAACTGAATAATTTCTTCGTATATGGTAGACGATAAATAATTCGTGTGACCACTACCGCACTGGCCAAATTTTCCAATGTGTTCAGCAARAAATGGATCAAACTCAGAGATAAGTTCCATAGCCATTAAATAATTTCCATTCTGAGTTGACCCAAATTTTTCGTTGTGACCTCTAAGGGGAAGACCTCTGGATGATAAAGCTTTAACTGTAGCAACTACCCGTCTCAATACATTTTCCCAATAATTAATAKGTTCATCTAACTGTTTTGTTAAACTAACGTTTATTGTTCCTAATGTATTTGCTCTTTCTTTTAAAGTAATCAAATTCGAWTTATGTTTGGTGGAATTTTCATGTTGGCTTACTCTACTTTCTGCATTTTTCCAATCATTAAAACCATCTTCTGAAAATTGTGAATAATTATCTCTATCAAATAAAACACAAGGTCCACAAAACACACATCCTTTTTTTTCTGAATAAACTAACCATGTTCGTAAACATTTTTCACCATTTAGCAATTTTCTTTCGAATAATGAAATTGKTAAATATCTATTAACATCATTGTATTGTCTTTTACTGTTTAAAAAGTTCAAATTTTTATTTTGGTTAAAGCCGTGCATTACAATATAATCACAAGTAGTGTTATTAATTATCCAATCTATTGGGTCTGTTGGAACACAAAAAGTAGTTTTGGATAAAGTACTATATATATTATAGTATTATTATTGTTGCTTAGAAGTATATTTTCAGAATCATCAATTATTTTAATATTTTCTATTTCTGAAGGTTTATTATTTAAGCTATCATCAATAGATTTAATATTTTCTGTTTCTGGAGGTTTATTATTTAAGCCATTATCAATTATTTTAATATTTTCAACAAAAGTAGAATCTGAGTCGACAATTATTTGATTACTTGTATTTGTAGTATTAATAGTACTATCAATACTTTTAGATATAAAAAAAGAATTTATTTTCTTTGATCTTTTAATTACTTCCTGTTCTTTTCTATTTTTTTCTTTTGAACGTTTTCCATATTCAGAACCACTCAACTTTTTTCTTCCATCACTCATTATAACTTAAATTTAAATACCTACACAAAATGATAATTATATAAGAAAACCATTTAATTTAAAAACCTTACTAGTTACTATCCTTGGTACAATTTAAAATATTTTTTAGTACTTACCAGTTGCTTARGTACTTTCTAGTTTCTTGTAGATTTGTAAAATACACGCAGYACGGACACACGACACGCGACTCGATGTTTCAAACACAGATTGCGAAATAATATAATAATTTAATAACCAAATTTTTGATTATTATTATCATTATTCGTTACAGTTCTGAGTTCATAATAACAACATAGGATTGTCGTATGTCGAATTAGTAATATAGTGTGGCAGTGCGAGTATTTATTTTTATCGAAATTACGACGACGCGCGACGTCGATCCCCRATAAGAATAATAAAACCATTGTTGCTTTATATATTATTATGACCCATGCGGGCTCTGGGCGGACTATACCAACGTGTTAAAMTATATAGTATTATCAAAAACTGTTTTCTATATAATTGTTTACTGTAATATTTATAGGTAATGACTATAAATTATAATGAACCAAAATAGATTGGTATACTGAATATCATATACGATGTACTATATGTTTGATGTTTTTTAATAAAACACTACAAAATTTGCCG